TTTGTTACTGTTGTACTACTTGTACTAATTGTCGCCTAATGGTAAAATAAACTACCTTTATCATAATTATATCATAAAATATAGTTAGTAATATATAGGCTGACATAGACCCTAGCTAGATTCTAGAATAATCGACGAAATTACGATAATATTATGTAAAAATTGTAGACACTGGGTAAAACCACGAGTGGATGGATAACCGATAGAAGACTGAAAAACTTATTTATGTAGATAATGCAATTATCACGATACAAATGTAAATATTATACCAAGGAGTATACTATAGACCTGCAAGGACCGTACATTTTCGGCCCGGTAACAAAAATATAGTGAAAAAAAAATATTATATTATTATTATGGTATATAAATAGCTTTATTGTACGCACCTATCGATATATTATTTTTTTTTGTTGATCTTTAAAGCCCGACGACTATGGCCATTAGCTGGTTATGCATGGGTTTTATGATTGTAGGTAGTAGGGTTTGTAATGGTATAGGGTTTTTACATGTGTGTGTTGTGTTTGGCAGACTCTTTGATTGGGCACCCGTAGGTATATCTGCCATGCCCGGGTGGCGGATGGCGGCACTTGTTCTCCGGACACCGTGACTTGTCCGAAGACAAATGCCGCCCGTAGCCAAGGAATCGAACTCGGATCGGGTCGGAATAAAATTCCAAGACTTAAAAAAAGCCCGGTCCACCCCTGATTAATTATTCGAAGTCCAGCCCGACTCGGCCCGAAAAATTTTATAAAAAGATAAAGATAAAGTGATTTTTTATTACATATTATATAATTACATATTTTGATTTTTTTAATACATATAAATCCGAGCCCTAGTAATAACTAATAAGTATACTGAACATTGAGATGTTAAATACCTCATTTTCGGTAAAATCGACCTTTAATGAATGGATATTTGACTGACGCACGATAACCTCCAAAAGTTTCACCAACAAATATTGATTTATTTGCCCCTGAAAATTGTTTTGATCATTATTCAATATTCATGCACGGATTTAAACAAATAGTTACTCACATTTTTGACATCCACCACCTCGTGGACCATTTGTTCAACATTCATTGAAAATCCCATACTAATATAAGTACTGAAAAGTTATAAATTAAATATTTAACAAGAATAACTTAAACTTGCTTTAATATTCGAAATTATGAATTAGAATGTCTAAATTATGTTTCAAAATGGGTGTCATTAGAAAGTAATCAATAGAATTAAATTCCATAGCAACACTTTTTGGCCAATAAAGTAATAATTATAATTATTTATTAGGTACCTACTATGGAATGCTATAATCTTACTACTATGTAAGGATGAGACAGCGTTTGTTTGTTTTTCCTCAAAAATCTCAAAATTTATACTTGACCGATTTTTAAAATTTTTTCATCAGTAGAAATCTACATATAAAAAGAGCCAAGCTTGAGAGTTAAGAATGTTAAGATGGATAACAATGATTAAACTCAATTTTAGAAATGTCGTCACTAATACCTACCCACTCGTATATCATTCAAATTTAGGTTAAGTTAGAAATGTATTATAGTATTATAGAAATATAGTGACTACAATTATTTAGAGATATTTTTTTAATACATTTTAAATGTATGTATTTTCAATACATTTCAAATTGATTTTACAATGATATGTGTATTTTATTGTTTGTATATGTACAAACACACAATAAGTAGGTACCTAGTCGAAATAATACTTTGTTTTTTAACTTTGAGGGTAGTTTCTAAATGTTCGATACTTGCAAATAATTGGATATAGTTAATACTTTTAAGAGGTAAACATTGAACATTTCCTATACTTTTTAATGTAAAAATAACTGTTTTTTAATTTTTATACCTACATACTAGGACTTATATATTAAATAAAATTATTGTTTATACGTATTTATTAAAAGTAATATTATAAAAATTAGGTAGGTAAGTGGGTGTCGCTCTGCTGCTGTACAGTGGGCTATAATGGGTCACTGTAATGGGTGGTGTTAAATTTGAATTCAATGATATAATATAATTTTTGCATACCTACGAAAAACGATTCGGAGCGGAGACGGTTTGTAAGCTTTTGATATTTTATATTCGGTGATATTGAATTGAGTCCATGCTACTTTTATTTGTTTGAATTGAGTCCAAGGTATTATCTTAATATCTTTGAATTGAGTCCGTATGATAAAATGTCATAACTACCTGTTAAGCAGGTGACTTTGAACCTTGCACATCAAGTGAATTCATGTCATCATATTATACAGAATACGCAACGATAACGGATATTCATGGGACATCCAAAATTGTTATTCTTGTGGACACTCTTCTGTGAATACAGTCTGATACATATATAGAACTTAGAAGCAAAGCAAAGAGACCATGTAAAAAACATTAGAAAAAGAAAATGTTTTACTGGAGCAGACAAACAAATACATTAATATGCAAATTGGCAGATTTGACTTTTTAAAATATAATATATCATTTAAATTTTTACTAGCGACTATTTCATTATTGACATTATTATATTACACATAATTATTGTTATTTTTAATTGACTATTTAAACTTGTTATTATTTTTTATACGATACAAAAAAAAACAGTGTACCCATACAATCATACATAATAATTATTATTTTTAATATTATTTAATTAATTAACTCTTTATACTTATTATTATTATTATTATTATAACCTAAACCTTTTTGGGAGATTACTCAGCCAACCTCCACGTGGTGTCATCTGGGTAACGGTAATGGGCTGAAGGGACTAAACTCGAACAACCTAAAAATATTGGTCGGACTCAACTCCAATAACCCAAAAGTATTTGCTGGACTCAATTCAATATTTGGGACTCAATTCAATGTTATATTATATGCATATTGTTATTATTAATACGGCCGGTAGCCATGTTAGTTGAATTAATATTGTTTCCATATTATTATATTTCAATATTTGTATGAAATATTATACTTGGGAAGTTTCAAGTACCCACGAATAACATTTTTAAATGACAACAAAATAACTATAATCGTTATTCTTAGTTATTTAATATGCAATTTCGTCTTAGATGTGAACCTAAAATAACTATAAAAAAAAACTCTGTTTAAATATTTGTTTAGATATTTTGGTTACCTTCAGAATTAACTACTTACAACTATTAAATAATTGGTAAATTTTCAATTTGATAAATTTCGTCAACATTTGAACATTAAAGGCTTATGAAAAAAACCGTACTTATTATATGTATTTTTAATATGTTTCAACTGATGTTGTAATAATATATCAAGAGCTTTGTTTTGAATTTTCAAGCTTTTTGACTCAACGAATACAATTTTATTTACATTTATAGAATTAAAAACTAAATAATTTCAAATTTCAAATGTATATAAATAACTCAAAACAAGTCGTAATATTTTGAAAATTTAAATTAAAATGAATATAAATATAAAAATTGTGCTATTATACTCGTTTAATGGAACCAGTTATAAAGATATTTTATTTTTGTTGATAATATAATATTTTGGCCGTATATCATTTGCGCATCGTCTGTTTACCTGTGCGAAAATATCGTACATCATATGCGCATCAAAATTCTAAACAATAGAAGCGTATAAAAATAATTGTACACACATATAATATTATATAGATATTGAATAATTTAATAGGTATATTACATAGGCACAAGATTTGTTCAATAAGCGTTTAAAGTTCAAATGTTGACAAAATTTATCAAAAGCTCAAAAATTTGCAAATTATCTTGTAGTAAAAATTTTAAAAATCAGTTCAATTAGGCACATTACATGGTCATAGTTATAGTAAAAAATATACATATAACATATAGGTAGTTTTAGTAAAAATGAATTCAACTAAATTGTGTTCAGTGCATTTAGGAATATTAGTTATTACAGTCATAGTTCTAAATTATAAGACAAATATACGTATAGTGTGAGAAAACATTAGGTATTTAAAAATAAATTGTATTCAATTAAATTAGGCATATTACAGTTATAGTACAAATATACATATAACATATGGGTAGTTTGAGTAAAAATTAATTGAACTAAATTGTGTTCACTTCAATTAGGAATATTACCTACAGTCAATATAGGTATACATTATAATACAAATAAACATATAGTTTGAGAACAAATAAATTGTACTCAGTTGAATTAGGCACATTCCAGTTATTTGATAGTTAAAATACATAACATATTATAATCCAAATTAATAAAACAAAAAAAGTTAAAATAATATTATAAATCAATACTTGGTATATTGTAATATACATAGCTTTATATTCATTTCTTAGAGATGGAAAAACTTGATTAAGCTTTCTATACCAAGCCTGTCCTAGATGGAATCGGCAACCATATATATTACATAGTGGAAAACAGTGCTGAATTGCTAAATGTGCACTCTTTTCGAAATCCTCTCTGATGGATTTTGGTTCGAATACTAAGCTATTCGAATTACATAAATTGATTAAAGATTGCCACATTTCCATATAATCCTTTGTTGTTTTTCCGGTTAAAAAATAATAAGCTAAGAGTAAGTATAGCCCGTTTTTATACATATAATGGATCGTGTACAGTTGATAAAAATATCTTGGACAATATCTGAAGGTCCCGTTTGCTAGAATGAATTCTGAATTGTCACATAAAGTTTTTAAATTGGTTTTACAAGTTAAAGATACAACTTTATTGTCATTGATATAAAGAAATTATTGTTCTTTTTTAAAAGTTAAAATAGTTTCCTGAGAAGTTAATTGCGAAATAGCTTCATCATATGATTTCAGCAACACTGGTAAAACCTTCCTTCGTTTTCTATATATATGTTGTCTGTAGTTGGAAATATCATTAAGCGTCACAATTATATGACCTGCTTCGGATATTGCTTTCCGTATAATTTTGTTAGGTCTTGTTGATATTTCTTCAGTAGCTTTTCTCTTTACAGTGTTTTTAATCTGAAAAAATTAATTAATTATAAATTTGATTATTTTAACAACATTTCATGTATATTATATATTATTATGAATATGTTATTTCCAAAAACAACACATCATATTTGATAACTATTTGATGATATGTAATAACTATTATTATTATTATATTAAAGTATTTAGGTATGGTTATTTTTTTTTTGAATAACAATAAAATAAGAAAATCGCTCCATGAAAAATCGAGTGTAGATACATCTAATATTGTAGAAATTTTAACTTTAAAAGTTCATAAAAATTCACTTTCTGGTAGACAATTATTTTTGATAAAAGTAGGCAAACTTACGAAGAACACGTATTTAATTTTCAAATCTTAGATATAAAAAGGAACATTCTTATATATTTCTAACTCAAAATAATTGTCAAATGTTCGTGATTTTTACCTACTTTGTCATAATTTTGTTAAAAACTTACGAGGGACTTTATTTATTTATTAATACGGACAAAAGTCCAATTTATGTATTATAACAATAATATAATATAATTTAAAATAATAAAAGATGAAAAGATTAATATAATTTACTATTTCCCGAAGACATTAAAATATTTATGGGGTCGTACTTTTTAGATGAATGAGGAATATAAAATAAATGATTTTAAATGTTTTTAATCAAGTGAACATTTTTTATAGACATTAATATTTAAACAAACCTTGTCAAATCACCGATTAATTTATAATTCTTATTTTGACTTACTTCGTGTTTTTCTATCTCCGAATCCGTCAATTGGAGATGACGTGTGTGTTCTCCCCGTATTTCCAACACCGTACGTCGGTGTTCATAATTTTTTAGTGAGGCATAGAAATCTTTTTTCGGACACATAAATATAATCTCACCATTTTTCAGAATTTTCCTTTCTGTATAAAAATACTTTTGGAAAATGGCCGCAGCTTTTCCACGATTTGAATTAATGAATTGTCATATTGACTCATTTTTACATGTACTCAAAAGTCAAAAAATTATTGTATAATAATATTATAATGTACCGATTACCGATGAACCGTTTACGTCTCGTGTGTCACGCGTACGTCTCGACAGCGTCTAACGAGTTTCACTATTCAGTAATCTACTCTTTTTTTTTTTTTTTGAGGCATCGACGACGCTGCAGGAACTTGATAATATACTTTATAAATGGATTGGTCACCCGTACACTTCAGTTGTTAATCTCGTGCTATATCGTATTATTGCCAACTAATTGCCTACATGATATTAAATATTTTAAAACAGAAATACCTATACAATATTTGGGTATACACCTTTTTTTCAGTTCTATAAGTACAAGTACGTCATTTAAAATTTTTTTGTAATTTTCTTAATTTGCTATGGACATCGAATTTACACTAAAATTAATATTTTTAATGTTTTCAACAAACAAACTATTAAAATTAAAATTATTTTCAACTGCACTCATTTTTATTGTATGATCACACTATAGTCACTATATTATAATACCTACACGTTAAAATACTGCAGCAGTGCAGCCCTATAGTCCGTACTAAAGTCTGTTTAAGTTCTATTTCTGAACGATAGTATCTACGATATTGTAGTCGTTTCGATAAACGCAATAATTTTTATTGCATTACCTATACCTTTACCAATATGTTAGATGCCACATAACGTGGCCCCTGGGAAACATATAAGATGTAATAATACTGTAGTAGGCATACTAATTTATAAAAACTTAGGTAGGTTAGTAGGTAGGTATATCTACTTTTATATGATTCACTGATATGTAATATTTATTAGGGAAATACTATGATATAAAAATTATTATTTGATTATTTGATTGTATAATAACGAAAATAACTAAATTGTAAGGACTTAAGTAGGTACAATACTACAGTATAAAAATATTCATATTGGAAAATGTTTTTACATTTCGCAATGTGTACAGCGATTATTATTTATTGTACAATTTGCGATGTGTACGAAAATAGACATAATGAATTAAGTAAAATGATAATATCATTCATTATCACAATTATGACCCTGAAGAACAACAGTGAGTAATATTACTTATAATAAAATTTTGATAAACTACGGGGAATTTTAAACCCACGATCAAAAGGTCAATTCTATATTTATACAATCGTATTATTTTTTTTATTTTTCAATTAATCATGAGCATACAATACCCGCCACGGTTCTAGAACCGTGGTGGACCGTTTTGAGTCCGTTGCGCACAGTCGGTTTCTGATTGGTTCCTCGAAATCCCCGGAAGTGGTTGGAATGTGGAGGAAGTTGTTTTGCCTGCGCAACCAGTCATCTTCTTATTTCCGCATCAGGACGTATAGTAGTAGATAAGAAATTTGGTCATAACTTGTGCAATACTGCAATCTACAATTGCAATTTTATGCGTTGCAAGCATGTACAAGACAAAAAAAAAGCGAGTTAGTGGATGTCGCTCTGTTGTACAGTAGGTTTCAAGTGGGTCACTGTAAAATGGATGGTATTAAATTTGAATTCAATGATATAACATATCATTGTATACGAAAAACTATTCTGAGCGATGACGGTTTGTCAGCGTGGATATTTTAAATTATATTTATATTGTTATAACTTATTACTTATTATCAGTACGGTAGCCGGATAAGTTGTATTATATTATAAAAATACAACAAAATAACTAAAATAGTTATTCTAGATTTTTTAAGATCATTCAAATGGTCCGTAAAATGCTCAAAAAGAGTCAAAATATTTTCAAAATTGTATGGCGTATAGAAAAAATTTAATTTGATTTGTTTGTAGAAATTTTTTTTTTTTTGATAAAGGTAGACAAACTTATGAATAATCTTGTATTACATTTTAAAAGAACAATTTTTATGAATTCTCAACTCGAAATAATTTGGTAGTTTTCGTGATTTTTCGGTTATTTGAAAAGATTTGAACTTTAAATGCTCATAAATTATAACTAATATAGTTACTTGTATTAATAGTAATTCGATTAGCAATAGTAATTCGACAACGACAATATTGTTGTCAATTATATTTGGATCTCTAGTGTTACTGTAATTGCATGTTACATTGTTTCGCTCTGTCAGTAGGTAATCTTTTTAGACTTTGAACACGAACATTAAATTTCATATGGTTTACTAAACACGTCTCGTATCGGATCTAATCAAATTATCATTATCGATTTTAAAGGTTAAAGGCTAATAGTAAAAATGAATAAAAAGGAAAAGTTGTGTTGTTTCTACTAATTACGCTATTTGTTTTGTTCGGATATGTTTATGCGTCGCTCAATCGCTTATACATAACTTACTCTAAGTCTGTAACGTTTCACTAGAACTGTTGTAAGTGGATATTTTGAAGAAACGTTTGTTCAGTTGCTGAAGTACTTAAAAAAGTTTCGGTGAGATTATTTATTATTGTTAGTATATCAACTTATATTAAATTTTTCCGAAAGTATTCATGAATATTTTTTGTCGTGTATGTTGTACTTGTACACAGGCCCTGATTTACGCAAGTACAGATGGAGCACTTGCACTTGACCCCCAATTTCTGGGGGGCCCCCGGTCTCCCGTAAGTTGTAGAAAATTGTTTTTTTTAGATTCTGAGTGAAACGATGAATGTATTGATTTTACAATGATGTGTGTTTTTATATTTATTTTTTTATTTTTTTTGTGTCTGTGTACACGATAAGTAGTCGAAATAATGCTTCGATTTTCGACTTCAGTATCTTGTTCGATTGGAAAGTGAATATCGTTGGTGCATTGGGGAGGTCAAAATTTAAAATTCCCAGTAGTTTTCAAAAGCGCCGGGAAAAACAAAAGAAAAATTAAGGAAAAAACGGGAATTTTTACGCAAAATCGGTTTTCCAAAAAATCGATTTTGGTTTTTGGTGTAACTCTAAAAGAAATGAACGTATATACATGAAATTTTCACTGGTTGTTTATATTTGCATTTTCTATACACGATAACATTTTCAAAATATTTTGATTTATTTTGAACTGTTTAGGGACATTTTCATTTTTCATTTTTTTTTAGTTTTTTTTCTAGAAATATCAATAAAATTTTATTTGTTGGTTAAAAAAACTTGAAAATTTAATAGAAGGCTCCTAGTATATTGTTTCAAAGGCAGATGAAAAATATTAAAAATCGTAAGTCACAGTTTTTTTTTATAAGCATTTAAAGTTCAAAAATTGACAAAATATTGAAAAATCACGAAAATTAGCAAATTATTTTGAGTTAAGAATTCGTAAAAATTTTTCTTTTTAAATCTAAGATTTGAAAATGAAACACAAGATTACTTATAAAATTGTCTACCTTTATCAATAAAAAAATTTCTACCGGAAAGTCAAATTAAATTTTTATGAGCGTTTGAAATTCAAATTTTTACAACATTGGATATTCACTCGATTTCTCATGTGGCAATTTCCTTTTTTTGTTGTAATTAAAAAACGAATTACTGTAGATACATGAAAATTTCACTGAATGTTTATATTACCATTTCCTATACACCATACAATTTTGAAAATATTTTGACTCTTTTTGAGCTGTTTACGGACATTTTCAGTTTTCAATTTTTTTAGTTTTTTTTTTCTATAAATATCAATAAAGTTTTATCTGTTGGGCCAAAAAGTGTAAAAATTTAATACAAGGCTCCTGATATATTGTTACAATATCAGTTGAAAAATATTAAAAATACATAGGCACAATTTTTTTTTATAAGCATTTTAACATCGAATTTTGACAGAATTTTTCAAAATCTCGAAAATTATTAATCATCGTAATTAATAAATTATAAAATGTTCAGTTTTTATAGCTAAGGATTGAAAATTTAAAACAAGATTCCACGTAAGTAGTTAATTCTCTTACCGAAAAATCTAAAAAATATACAATCACAGTTTATTTTTATGTTGTTGTTGTTTTTTTATTGTCATTTTATGTTCAAATTTGGACGAAATTACATATTAAAAAACCTAGTTATTTTGTTGTGATTATATAATATTATTCGTGGGTACCTACTTGAAACTTCTAAAGTGTACTATTATATATAAATGATAGTATCAGGGTTTGTTGTTGGTGTATAACGTGTTATAAGTACCTAATGGATATTGTGATAATGTGATATGATTAATTTGGAATTTATTATAGGTCAATTTTTTTTAATACCATAGATATGTATATAATTTGTCTTAAACCTAGACTGACATACCGTCTTCGCTCAGAATCGTTTTTCTTATACAATGATATTGTATCATTGAATTCAAATTTAATAGCATCAATTATACAGTGACCCACTTGTAACCTACTGTACAGCAGAGCGACATCCACTTACCCACCTTTTTTTAAAATAAGTTCCACCAAAACTCTTGAGTGGGAAAGTTGACGCTCCAGATATGTTAGGGAGGATTAATTTTAATGTTCCCAGTGCTGATTTGCGCAACTTTTCTCTTTTCCGGGTCCGGTTCTATTATTTATATAATGAACCCATTTTGCGTATGATGATATTAGCTAATGGATCCAATTACATCTAAACAACTTCTTGTGTCCGATTATTTTGTATTATATTATTATCTGTTAAATATTATGTATGTAATAGTGAATTATTATTATAAATTATTAATGTTATATAAATGTCAAGGGCCTGTCCCGTTTACTATTATAATAAATAAATAAATAAATATTAAAATGGGCAAATGGTAATAAAAGTACATAGCTTTCAATATAGTATGATTGTTTAATATACTATAACCATATAATATCAAAAGATTTATTTGGTACGAAATTAATATGATAAATTTTCAAATTTTCAAAATTTTCAACTTTTGGACATTTTCAGAAGAAAAACTTTTCATGAAAATGTACATCACTGATGTTATATAAAAATCACATATCTAACGTTGTATATTCTGTGTTCACAGGTACGCATTCAGCATTGATCGATTTTTCATAAACACGCACACATTTTTCGATTCTCAAAACATGCATTCCAGGACTACTCAACTAATGTTGACTGCTGTTGTTGCCGCATATTGTATTGTTCAAGTCACTTCTGAATGTTGTAAAGTAAAAAGTGTGTTAGGCGCTGAAAAGTTGGGTAATAACGCATTTTGTAACGTAGCCGTAACTCATCCTCGAAAATTATTAGAAGCGGGCATGTGTGGCGATGGTAGTGTGGTGAACGGTCATTATTGTGGCGTCGGATCTTGCAACGTATTTGGATGCAATTGCGACGGCGGGTGTCTGGGCGAAGAGCATGCTAAAATTATAGAAAATTGCACACAAATTATAGCGATCAAACAAAACATTATTGACAATATTAAATATTGTACCAATAAAACAACCACACATCCACCACCAAATTTTATGCCACAGGAGCATTATACAAACGATTGTCCCGATACTTGTGATTACGCTCGATATCGGTATCATGCACAAGTTGACCAGTGCAATGATGTAAGAAAACTTACCCTTCCTTTCTTAGTATTACCACCTGGGACAGTTATAGGAATGGCGTATAATGGTTATTGCGAATTATTAAAATACGTAGAAAAAAGTAAAATGATTAAAGCTTGTGGTGTGTAATAGTACTTGTAGTGTACTTGTAGGGTACTTGTAATGTACTTGTAGTGTACTTGTAGGGTACTTGTAATGTACATGTAGTGTACTTGTAGTATATTATAGTATATATTAATATTATACAAAATGTTTGTAAAAATATTTATTTCGTTAGCGCCTATGGCTTGTTAATAAAAATGCAACACATTTACATGATATACTTAATGTTTCTGCTCCTCATAATGGTAATAAACAAATATTATTTGTTTGTCAAATATCCAAAAATGTTGATGAGAAAATTCCTTTTTTTCAATTAGTTTATTGTATGCACACTATATATGTATGCAATGAATAATTTACAGAGTTGCACATCCAGAAATCTTACTGAAATAATTGCTAAAAACATCAAAAATAACTCATTTTGTCTCGAGTCATTTGTATTTGTACAATTCAATACGTTTTTTAATCTCCAAATGACGTTGTCATAACGTTCACCCTTCCTATATAACGATACGGATAAACCTTGTCATTTTTCAGAAAACTAATTGACGACAATCTAACGAGGAAATTAATAATTTCTTTATGAGCTATAATTTTTAGTATTGTAAATTATTAATAATTAATCATGTCAATACGCAATGTCGTTATGGTTTACATTATACTATTGGTATTTGGTGTCTACAAAGTCAAACGTAATAACTAATAATAAATCCAAAATGGATTCTTTATTTCAATAAAATTTTAGAAAAACTACAAGATCTAGTGACTGAAGCAATAGCCAAAGTATTGATTGACACAGGCACAACTGCAGATTCGATTCCTAACAGCAGAAACAACAACAGCGACATTGTAACAACTTGTAAATAAAATTATACTTTGATATCATGTTAATAAAAATACTGTAATAAAATATTGTTGAACTTTTCTTAACATTTTCTTAACATTTATATCCGATTGATATGATAGCACGAACTAAGATATATAACTATATCTTAGTTCATGTATGATAGTATGGACTGGACCCAACATGGCAGGCGGGTGGGTGGTGTGTGAACCTATTTTGTGATCCAATTTTGATACAACATACTATACTATTTTAGTTAAACACAATTATTAATTATTAATATAATATTATTATAGTAGCATTTTAACTATAAAATTTGATTTATTTCCAGAATTTACATTATATCAAAAATATTATAAATGATTTACAGAAAGAATCAATGAATAGAGACATCTTTATTTTTTTTAAATAAAATAAGAGAATATAAACATTAATTTCATATGTATGTATTACGCGTCGTTACATTTATTGAGGTAAATTAATTGAGTCCTTAAACCTATGCTGAGCCTGGTGTAGATGTGGATCCGGTATTGCCCGTACCCACAGCATTGGAGGAACTGCCTGGTATTGAGTTCATGTAATTACTAGGGTTCATTGATTGAGGCATTTGGCTGGGGTAATAACTTTGCATACTCGACATGCTCGGCATATTTGGTATACCACTTGGCATGTAACTTCCGAACGATGGGACACCAGACGATCCTTCTTTAGCAGCTATTGAAGCTTCTGGTGCAGATGCGGATCCGGTATTTCCCGCAGCACTGGAGGAACTGCCTGGTATTGAGTTCATGTAATTACTAGGGTTCATTGATTGAGGCATTTGGCTCGGGTAATAACTTTGCATACTCGACATGCTCGGCATATTTGGTATACCACTTGGCATGTAACTTCCGAACGATGGGACACCAGACGATCCTTCTTTAGCAGCTATTGAAGCTTCTGGTGCAGATGCGGATCCGGTATTTCCCGCAGCACTGGAGGAACTGCCTGGTATTGAGTTCATGTAATTACTAGGGTTCATTGATTGAGGCATTTGGCTAGGGTAATAACTTTGCATATTTGGCATACTTGGCATACCACTTGGCATACCACTTGGAATACCACTTGGAATGTAACTTCCGAACGATGGGACACCAGACGATCCTTCTTTAGCAGCTATTGAAGCTTCTGGTGCAGATGCGGATCCGGTATTTCCCGCAGCACTGGAGGAACTGCCTGGTTTTGAGTTCATGTAATTACTAGGGTTCATTGATTGAGGCATTTGGCTCGGGTAATAACTTTGCATATTTGGCATACTTGGCATACCACTTGGCATACCACTTGGAATACCACTTGGAATGTAACTTCCGAACGATGGGACACCAGACGATCCTTCTTTAGCAGCTATTGAAGCTTCTGGTGCAGATGCGGATCCGGTATTTCCCGCAGCACTGGAGGAACTGCCTGGTTTTGAGTTCATGTAATTACTAGGGTTCATTGATTGAGGCATTTGGCTAGGGTAATAACTTTGCATATTTGGCATACTTGGCATACCACTTGGCATACCACTTGGAATGTAACTTCCGAACGATGGGACACCAGACGATCCTTCTTTAGTAGCGATTAAAGGATGTAGCTCAGATGCTGCAGCGGCATCTGGCTGATACGATGATGATTCTGGCTGGGTTGTTGGCGACGGTGTCGTCTGTGATTCAGATGACCCGTAGCCTGGAATCTTGCCGAAGTATTCTTTGATTTTAGATGTCCAATCCGGTGTTTGTCTAACATAACGATGCGTTGGTATACCTAGTAATATTTAATTTATAAAATTAATAAGATAATAAAACTATACGTTTGTTTTAATTCAACATTAATTTGTTTTTCATACGCATATTATAAAGATCATTAAATATTTTTTTTTTATTGAATTTGATTTAATAACTATATAATATGAACTAAAGTAAACCAGGGAACTGCAAAACGGAATTGAATAACGTATTTACGTATATTTTCTTATAAATTGATTGTGGGTAAATGTCTTTCCTAGTTTAATTATATAATATTAAATTAAACTATGCTTATTTTTTAATTTTATTTTGGGCATTGTAGTTAAAAAATATGTTTTATAATATTTTAAAATGGTCATCACTCGATTAAAACGACTAACAAAAAAACTCCTTTGTTAAATGATTAATATATTTTACTAATTTACCAGCCATAAACATAGGTAGTGATATACCTATTAACAGTTATCGCATATTATACTTTACTAATGAATATTAATAAATCATATTATACTGTTAAGTATAAAACATTAAAATCAATCGATGCATCCTATACCGGGTTATTGTTGGGATTAAAATGGTAGGTACTTACAGTGCGATAACTGGAGAAGCGTCGCCACTGCGAAGAAGAGGACTGCAATTTTCACGTTCATGTTGGACGTCTTGATGGGGAGCCCGAACAGAAATAGATAGTACTGCACGGAATGTTATTCACTGTGATGACGATTCGAATGTTCGTTGTTCTTATTCCTGGTCGCAGACCGTAGACGACTGATGTTTGGTTGGCCGAGCGTTTTGGATTTATAAAGCGACCAAACGCCTGCAATGTATTCGTTTCCCACCCGAGCGGCCAGCGAGGAATTTGCATAGATTTCGGGGGGGGGGGGGGGTGACGGACTCGGGCCCCATTCACGGTGTTCTACCCGAGAATTGGCGAAACAGATAAGACCCAGACGCGGATTTGCATTCGATCGCCCCGTCGCCCGATTGTGGAAACGGCAACGGGAAATGGTCGCAATAAATCAGAACCGCGATTACGACGGCCCATCGCCGGAAACGCACTTGTCGCCGCTATCAAAAAAGCAATTTAAAAGCGACTAGGCGTTTGCGACTCATCACTGTACATTGTGCGAGCCGACCGCGTATTATAAACTTTGCATTATTAGGTTTTATTGCGCTGTCGTATATAATTTTATTATTGTACCGATACATAATATCTAGACCGCGAGCCACCATGTCCGCCAAGAATTTCGCGCTGATCGTGTTGGCGTGCCTCGTCAAGGGTAAGTCCAAACGCCGTAGTAGGCACTCATATCTATGGTATAATTATATGGTCGCACTATCGTCCCCGTGTACCTGTATCGTAATTATACGTAATTATGTTTACGACCGTAATTAATGGTATAATATTATAATAAACATACCGGTGCGGGGCCATCAACACTCCCGACCGATAAAATTTTAAAGCGTCCGTACGAATTTTGATTTCGATTAAAAACAACAGTTAGGTACCTTCGAAAATTCCAAATCTAAATACGAGTTTCGGTCGCTATTTTATTATTATTATTATCGGCCGTGTCGCGATGTCATTAAACTTACGGTCAATTATTACAAGCTAACACGAGTGTTATCACTGACACTTAAACCTAAAAATATTGTTATATTATTATTTACATTTCGTTAATATTAGTAATTTATTACACATTGCTAGTATCCGGCATTGGTCGATCAACTACTGGCGAATCGTGTCAGTACTGGTGGCGTGGATCACGCCAAATTGTTTCTACAAAAACGCATTGACCATATTTGAAAACTGTTGTTATTTCAATTATTATTCGAACACAATATATTATACTAAGGGCTTATGAACTATATCGACAACCGTAGAATTTTGAAGTGCAAAAACGCATCATACGAAGTTATTGGCAGTCGGTCAATACGTTCTGTATACCTACCTATAGTTTACGTTTAAAGCGTAACATTTACGTTCGTTTGAATAGATAATAGTATTACAGTCGAGATTCGTTTAGCATAATATAATAATTGTTTTGAGATATAATTATATTTTACTGAAAACATGTCGAAAACAATAGCGGTGATGACATTAATTGTGTACACTGCAGTACTGTATGGTCAAAAAAGTAAATTATCACCGAATGATAATAATATAATATTAATTAACCACACTGAAAAGTCTTAGTTCTCGACAAATATAGCATTTCTTGTAAAATATAATCTTAATACATAGTATACCTAATGTTTGACCTTATATTTTTTAGATAACTAATTTTTTAATTTTTTTCAGACGCTTTCTACGCGGATGCCGCTCCATCAATCACACGCGATGATTTGACTGCTGTGAGTACATGCACTTGATATTACAATTTTTTTAGTGATTATAATATATAACATGTAAATGTATAGACTGTTATTTTTTTATTGAGTAAAACAATTTAGAGGAGACCACCCACACGAATATTATTTATAGGGTTTTGAATTATTTCGATTATTATGTGTACCTACCTATATACGTTTAATGTTCGAAAACTAAAAACAATGGGTATAGGATTTATTAATTGTATAATTCGATGTGCCGACTTGATACATTTAAAAAACTGTGATCTAAAAATATTTACAAATATAATTACGAAGTCGTCGGATCGGTACGTCGAACGTTACGTAGTCAGTAGTTTACAAGTGCCCAAGTTGCTCGCATGTAGGTTTAATATTGTATATGTATTATTTTTTTCATTACTTTATTATTTAAATTTTTTTTACTAAATTTAAAATACTTTGATATCGATATTTGTCATAATACCACTTTAGCATAATTCAATATAATTTTATAGTATACGGACTTTACGTCTGGTTCCTCTGTTGGTCCGCTTTAAAAAAACACACAACAATTTATTTAAAAACATTTTTTCACAGCTTTTTTGAACATATTATTAAATATTAATATTATATTGTATCAATTTATAAATACAATACCTATATAGAATCTAAATTTATATTTCGAGACGAATAAAACTTTTTTCGATATCTGAGTGTAAATTATTGTGTAAAACGAAGGCAACTCTAAAACACGAAGCTCTCGAAGCCCCGTCCAGACCAAAGAACAATTTCTTTATCGGAAACAATATATTGTGTTTCTGACATTGTCGTTGACAATGTGTCTGATATGACGTCATGAGCGGTAACATAAATATTAATTATTGTCGACGGCAATGTCAGAAACACATTATTATGTTTTCTACAAATGTATCATGTGGATGTAAATAATACTAAATATAAGCATAACACAGCTATAATCGTACCCACATTTTCTGTTTATAATATCTTATATTAATACAAGACGTGATAAGATAATTTATTTTTTAATAATAATATTTTTATTTAATATGTAACGTGTCCAAGATATATATTATAGTTTTATTTTCAAACGTTCAATATTATGTCACTGATTAGTAGTACAATTTTAACAATACATTTCTATTTCTTTTTATTCCTCAAGATATTAATAAGAATATTATATTTTCTGCTAAGCATCGTTTTTTATTATTTTTATAGAAAATTAATTTACTAAATGTTTTTAGAAGGTACCTAACTTTCAATCATCTACTTTTTAACGGAAATTATCAACAATCATTTTTTTTATAGTTATTATAGATTTTAGTGATAAAACCAACTTCCAAGTTAAAAATATTTTGAGTAATAGTATCTATGCCATTACAAATGTTGAAAGTTATTTGAGTGTACAAAATATTGTTTCTACGTTGTGGGTTTCTAAAAAATAATAGCGGCTTAAGATTATTTAAATAATTTATTTGATCTACAAAAAAAAGATGAATAAATATAGTTTATAATTATATCCATATAATATGTCACCCAAAAGCAAATACAACCCTACGATTTTCATTGAATTTCATTGCTGGTTTTTGTCCAAACATCAAACTTTAGGTACATCAATCTTCGACAGTCGTCATTTAAAAACTAATATTATTGAATTAAACTAGAGTAGGGTTGATTCAGTAAAATCCGCAATCGAATGCTGGCGGAAACCTATCATAACAATAATTTTACACTGAATACTACGTGTTTACTATCAGATATACAAGATACATTTAAAACCACAATCGCTATAATTATTATCGTATTCGAAAATACTCGGATATACATAATTTTTATTGTATAGAATTCGAGTAATAAATTATAAAAGTGCACGATTTTGTTTAAAGGGTAGGTGGGAAAAAAACTCAGAGTTCATCATAATGATACATCAATATAATATTATGTTATCGATAGCTATTACAATCAATTGTATATAAAAAAAAAAGTAATGTATTTTCGAATTAAATAATATAAGTCTTGCAATAACTATTTGAATTGTTGTCACCCGGCATGTAATAAACAACAATATAATATTATACCTATCAATATAATGTTTTAAAATGTAAGGTTTGTAAATAAAACAGATAGTTCCACACTTCCACCGCTTTAACATAATAATTGTTATCATAAATACAGGTGTCTACTTTGCGAAAAATCGACATTTAAAAAAATAATAAGTTTATTTGTTGAAAGAATGATTAAATCACTAAATATTTGAATCGCTGTCTATCCCTGATCATATAATAATAATATATCCGAATCCTTATCGTTATAAATTTGTAACACTCCATCATAAAACAAGGAACGTTCCGGAGCAGCGCACATGACGTACACGCAAAACAGCCGTTTATGCATAATGCAAAAGTTCTGGGTGAACGGGTCCCCCAAGTACACCCATACAGTATGGAAAATACACGTATCATAATATTGCCCTATCACTGCATTTAATTTTATCGTGTGCAATTAATGTACACGATATTATGACAATGAAACGACGCGTTAACAAAACAAAATGATAACAATTCACGGTTCAGACTTTTGATTATATTTTGTCCCGGTGTTTAATTGTTTATTATACAAGTTATATTGTATTATAATAATCCGACTATGCTTACACAATATTGTTTCGATTTATGAGTTGTAAGTTGTAACCAACTATAGTAAACTGTGAAGTTATTATGATATTACGGTGTAATACTGTTTGTACTATGACTATATATATATAATGTCAAGAACGTTAAGTTAAAAGTCAATAGTTAACAAATAATAATATATTTAAGTATTTAACTCTAAAACTTACTCAGTCAAATAAAAGTTAAATCATTTTATTTTAATACCACCTGTATAATTTGGACACGAAAAATGTTCAATAAAACCTTAACATTCAGCTTCATATTGGATCCTACTTCAATACTTCTTATTATTGCACAATATTTTCACACCAGCTGTTGTGTCTTAGCAAATAATTTATTTGTGTCAACTTATTAGTTATTTATTAAACCTAGAAATATTATTTTGTTTATTTTTTATATATATATATATATAAATTAATTAGCTTTAACTATAATTATAGGCTGTATATTCATGATTTTAACTTCAAGTGTTATTTTGCATATTAACAGAAAATCTCTTAATTTATCATAAATCATAATGGATATTTTAATTAGCTAAGTTAATGAGACAACTAAAAACTTAACAAACTACCTAGTTAATTTAACAAATTTAAAAATGTAGTACTAATATTTCCACCTGTTTAATATATTAAAAATAAATGTATTATGTATTTGTGTGTGTATATGTGTGTGTGTGTGTGTGTGTGTGGGTATGTTTGTTTTATGCGTGTGTGTGAATTTATAATTTAAAATTATATTATCATATATTATTCACGTGTAAAACGCGTTTAGAAATTAACTTGTTAGGCCTCTATATTTTCCAAATTTACGTAGGTCACAAAATTCCATTATATTATGAACCGATGAAAAAAAAAAATAACGCTTCCAATGTCCCACAAAAAATACTTCACTCGAGCTCCAATTTCTACGAAACAGTCCCTACTTGACGGTCGACTTAGTTCAGAGTTTAAGTCTTTCGACTAGAGTAAACTTAAGTTTTTTTAAATATTTATATATTATAATATGTTTAAGTTTTAATTTGATTATAATTCAAAACAGAAAAATAGTTGGTAATTTCATCATTATTGTTGGTAGCTAACTATTTATGAAATTTACAGCACGAATATCAAATTTAAATACATTTACAAGACGATTGAAAAGTGCGGTATATTTATTTACCACTCTTCAGAAATTACTCAAATTGTGCATTTAAAATCGGACGTGCAAAATAAAATATTTAATTTCATTCACAACTTGACGTCACGTGCATCTACAAAAATTTATTTAATAAAGTCTTATAAGTTGAAAAATATCGAAATTTGACCTTTCACATTCGGCAATGTGAACATACTTGAATATTCGAGCCCAAAGAGCACCTACCTGTCGCTTTCAAGTAGTTCATCGTAAAAAACCTAATATACTCATTATAGTCTTTCTAACTTTTAAGTGCGTTCTAGTCAAAAAGATGATGTTCAGATTTGATATATTGTGCAACTCATTCAAAACCGACGTAACTTTTTTTAAGTTAATCATCTTCTTGAATGACATCATAAGTTTTTAATTTCGTACAAAATTCGATGTACCAGAACTCCAAAAATGATTTGACTTAATCTCTGTAAAAATTATATTTTCAAAAAGTGACATGTATTATTGCATATCTATATGGCATCTATACAGCAGTATTCATAATGGGACTTAAGATTATATACATATTCGGGTAGATCGAAATAAATAACTGACAACAAATATCCCGACCGCATATCGGTATCACGCGTGTCCCACAAAACCGCTCAATCTCACAAACACGCACACATACAAGCACGCACACAAACACTTGTGGTGTATTGGCCGCAGGTGTTGCCCGGTTCGCTGCCCGAACTGGTGGACTCGGACGCGTTCGAACAGATCTGGCGGAAGGCAGCCACCGATGAGATGGTCAAGCGGTTCGGCGACGAAGCGGGACGTGACGACGGCGGCGCGGTTACGCGCAACATGATCGGCGACTACATGGTGTCGGACGAGTTCCACAAGGCCGTGTGCAAGGCCGGCGGCTCGGGCATGTCAGCGATGGGCGGCATGATGGGCAAGGCACCGCCTCCGTGGTCGTACATGGGCACGTTCATCGGTTCCGACAAGTTCCAGCACGGTTCGTGCGACATGATGTCGCAGGGCTTGATCCAGTTCGGCGACGGCATGAACGGATGGTTCCGGTCGGCCGGCGCCGACGCTGACGCCGACGCCGCCGCGGTGACCCGGGACCCGTTGAGAGCGGTCGACGGGTTCTTCCGGTCCGAGTACTACGGCGACGCCCGGAAAAAGCTGCGCGACATGTTCGCGGACGTCCGGTTCTGATGAGTTCGAATTTGCCTCGGTGGATCTACAACAACACCACTATTATTATAATATATTTTACACGATATTATTGCAATAATGTTACATAATATTATGTTATTGTCAATGTTATCGTCGTCGTCGTTATTATATTGTCACCGCCACCAAGACATGACACGTTTCGACAATAACAATTATTACTAAATCTATACGCACTATTTAATATTATGCACATTTATATTATTTTTATTTCGTTGACAGATAAAGTAATGATAATATTATGATATGAATCGTTTTCAAGGTCATTATATATTTATATTACATATATACACACAAATACCCATAGCCCATATCAGGAATTAGAACTGAACCTAAAAGAACTGGTTCTGGAACCGGTACCGAACCGAAACATTTTAATAAATAAAGTACCGGAAACCAACCGGCATTTTTAAATTAAATACGTTCTTTTAGGTTCAAAAATAAAATAATTTTATTTGACATAATTGAATGGTATTACTGCGTTTTGTGTATAAACTATGTATATTATTGGTTTTCTAATATTTCTCATACTATTAATGAAACCCGCATTCCGGATAACTATTATTCTTTTCAGTTTTTGGTACCTAAATTATTAAGAACCGGTACCGAAATTATTTGGGACGGAACAGTTATTTTATTTTTGGAGAACCAATACCGATAAATTCAAAAGGTTCCAGTCCCTGATCCATATATTATTATACTTGAGACCGAAAATTATAATTTTAAATTTCTGTTTATAATATATTATTATTAATGATGTTTACTGTACCCACGTATTGGTCTTGTCTCTTTGATCACTCGAAGACGTACATAAAGCGTCTAAGTATCCGTCTTTTTTGTATGAAACGAAATATTACATTCATAACACTCCCAACCCATATGTACAATGATAAATTATACTAAAATCTTCATCGATGATCGATGGCTGAACTGTGAGCACATGCATTTTATAATATTTATATTTAATGAGTCACAAAGCTATTAGATTATTCAATAGTTCATTGTTTTTGGATAGAAACTGTAATAGTTATAAGAAAATTAAAAATGCATGCAGCCCATGTCTCAGAGTTTTAAATACTTTTATGAGAATCATATAAGAAACCAAATACGTATTTCTATAAACGTATAGTAAAACATTCGATTTGATATTGACTCCTATGTACCTATTATATGTTTATTTGATGTATATGAATTTATTTAAATCAACTAAATGAATAAAATATTTACAATATGACGTCTAATATTTTCTTCTACCCATTTCAGATCATAAATAAAATAAACCAAACATTATTATAATCCCTTTAAGATTTAATGCTGATAGGTATAATGCTGTCCTATGGCCTATACTCTAATATAATGTAAATAATGTTTTTTTAGTTACCAACATATTAATATATTAGTTGTACATATTAATGCATAATATAATATTGAAATTCAAATAGTTATAGGTACCTATTCAAATAATATAATATCCATAAGCATAGATTCTGTGTTATCTTGATAACTGATAAGTACTCCTATATACAACAGTATTATAACTTACTTGGTAACAATACTATAACATAATATTAGAATATGTAATATTATCATATATACCTATTACCTTATACTAAATACTAATGAGAGGTCTATGAATATAATTTAGGTAATATTATAATAATTTATCTAGGTGACTACGTATCTTTGCAAAAAAAATAATGATTGTAATATTAAAATTGTAAAACAAAATAGTTTTTTTTTTTATGACTTCCTTTAAATGCTTAATTTTATATAATAATATTATGCCTTCATTATTGGTCATCACGAGTTTGGTGCTAAACAGTTTATACAGAGTCTCATGAGATTACGTCGTGTAGGTAGTGTTTTAATAACAATATAACAATTGATACCGATTATAATGTGTTTTTACTAAATTATAGGCGCCTAAAACCGTGGATGTCGAAAACAGAGTACTGACAAAAGAAGATTACGAAAATGAAGTCGACGTTCCAGATAAGACCGCATTTGAAAACTTTATTCAAGGGTTGCACAACATTGACTCGGCAATGGAAGCGATGATCGATAATTACACGGACGGGGTTGAGCATCTGAGTGAAGAAAACGCATTGCAGGGTGCAAACAATTTTAAATTGGACAAGATGGCACACGACCGCAATGATAAGTCAGCGATCGACGGCTGATAATATTCACAATAATCACAAGACAAATAACGATAAAAATATTTATATCTATGTCACTATATTAATATTACAATTACATTATGTAAAATGTCTTAATAATAATAAAATATACGCACATTTTCACGAGTAATCGCATTGTAGTAGATATATCTATACCTAGTTTGTCGTCGACCGCATAATATTATGTTTCGTTCACACCTGTGGAGTGTAATTTTATTATTATTATACTATAATAAAATTTCACATATAATTATATTATATTATTTTTATTATTATGTATATGTGTAACGATCTGTGAATATTATTTCGGTCCATTATTATTCGCACCGTGCAGTTATGTAGTTATCGCAATGCCAACGTACCTATATATATTGTTTTCAGGAGACGGAAGACCCTCGGAAGGCGAACCCGACTGTGGGCCAAATCGAAACGCCACTGATCGAAGGCGGTGACGTCAGTACGCATTCCACCTCAACCACGGAAGGCGACATGGTGTCCAAAGGTGCGCTTTCCGGTCTCGTGCCCGGAGGCGGTGGCGAAGCAACTTCGACCCCGGCCACCAACACGCCCGCCGCCGGTTTGGGAGGGTCGACACTACCGTTCGGGGGCCTGCCGACCGGAATTCCCGGGGCTGGGGGGCTGCCTTCGTCGTACCTGCAGGGAGGAGAAGGTGGGGGCCAGAGCCCTACGCTAATTTTAGGTGGGTTTTCAGCCATCGTCGTGCCCATGCGAGGCTTCAACATGGCGAACATGGCGTCGATGCTGTCCGCTGGACAGCAGCTGGGCCAGATGGTGCCCAAACCAGGTGTCGGTTAGACAGCATGACCAGCATATCGATCATATTATTATATAGATCACACACAATTCGCTCGGGGCATTCATCATATTATATATACTTACGAGTTACGATATGATATAATAAATAAATAAATAAATAAGAATAAATCGATCTTGTAGTTTTTCATTATGATAATTATTATTATTATTATTGTTATTATTATCTATATTGGGACTACGGATAACACGATTTCAATCTCAACAACTCGGAATATTATAGGGCAAGTTAAGGATTTTTTTGAACTCAGTTAAGTTAAAAGTTAATACACACTTTATTTTAACTTTTTATTAAGTTAAAAAAAGTTAATTTTTTTATGCAACGCTAGGGTGCCTACTTAATTGTTTTCCAACCTAAAACTAAACTATAGTGTTTATACTTTATATAGTCCTTCCATATAAGTTAGATTCTAATGATATTAATGTTTAACTTTAAACTATTCACTGTAAATATTTGTTGACATGGAAACGAGGTAGACCCAAATAGTGAAATATAAAAAATGTAAAAACAAAATAAATTAACTTAACTTAACTTACTTCTTAAAATGAAAAGTTAATTTCACGTTAATTAAAAAGAAATTTAGTAAGTTCACAGTTAAGTTAATGAAAAGCCAAAACTAACTAGTTAAGTTAAAAAGTTAAAATAAAATAAACTTTATAACTCCTTAATTCCCAGCCTTGATTATAAGTATACAAAAATATTGTAAATTATACTCAAAGTAAACATCACAGATGTAAATATAAATTGAGTATTGATTTTAGTAAATTAAATACCTGTACCTACCTGTTTTAATTGCAACGTTCCTCATTGGTGATTGCTTTATCTATTGAATTAATTTTCGTAAACCAACTAACTAGCAAAATATAATATATATTTTAATAATGTATAATGTAATCTATATTTATAAAAATAGACCCTAATCCTTTGCCATGGCATTACTTGAGACCTCATTTAGCGATTTGGTTTTTTTTTTCTGTCTTGTTCGTAATTGTCAAGACAAGGTTTATATGAAAGAACATTTTAGGAAAATTCACCGGAAAAGTAAGAAATCTGAATGTCAAATGTACAATAGTGGCTCCATCTGTCTAGCAAGAAAATCAACTAAATAATAATATTTTTTGTTTATTGCAAGGTTGCTATTGGTCACGATTAAGTATAATTTTAGACCTGTATATTTGTTTGTGATATTGAGAACTGGATAGGAATAGAGTGGAATGCACCTGTGTTTGCCTTAGACCCGTGTTGTGGATAGGTCGCTCTACACAAAGCGCCTTACCGGTAATCTAATTTAGACAGAATGAGAGATTCATATATTTCTTTAAGAGTAGTTTCATTTAATGTGTGCTAATAACTTGATAATGTTCAATTTTATTAAAGTTGCTTTTCTCTATTCTTTCAAGTGGGCCTACATATAACCTTAAATAATATGACGATTCTGGACTGAGATGGTATGTTGGACTAGGAATTTGATAATATATTAATATGGTAGCCTTTAAGTTGAATTATTATTATTTGTTTATAATTATATTTGTATAGGTACAATAATATACTTTAGAAGTTTCAAGTATCCACTAACAATATTTTTTTAATACAACACAAAACTAAAATCGTTCTTCTTCTTTCAAATATCTAATTTCGTCCAAATTTGAACATTACAGAACTATAAAAAAAAAACTGCTTTGTTATATGTTTCGGTTATAGAATAAACTTCGTACTTACACGGAACGTTGTTTTAAATGTTCAATCCTTAGCTATAAAAGTACATTTTATACATTTGTTTATATTTTAAACTAGATGGGAATTTCACCGTAAATTTTTTTTTGGTAAATTTTACGTAAATTTATGTAAATTTACGTAAATGTACCTACATGTTTTAATACTGTATAATATTTTTATTTAGTAAATTTAATACGAACTCAATAACATTTTCATTACTAATCTAACCATTAAACCAATGTACCACTCGTCCACTCCTTACTACAAGTATTATATTTATAATATAAACCTAATAAGTATGCATATTGTCATATAATATTAGTTATATTGAACTAAAAATATTTTTTAATGTAAATCAGAGATGATGGTGTTAAAAATTGTCTTAGTAATAATTATTTGCTGGAAGATCTCATGTGCATGATATAAATATAAGTAGGTATATAACTAGTTCTATTTATATCATGTATTGTGAAGATATGGATGTCACTATAGCGTTGTTGCGCATATGAAAACCACTTAAATGAGTGGTCATTCGAATTTTAAGACGGTAAAAAATATCCACCGGGTAAAAGAATTATTCCATCCCTATTTTAAACCTGTATAACAGAAGTGGGCCTCAAAGTTTTATTACGATTTTGACTGCATATTATAATTCGTATTTTGACACTTTTTAGAGCATAAAAATCCGCTCTCTTCACTTATATTATGTATATAAGATCATAGACCCCACGTGGTGCACACGTAAGTGTAGGTGTAATTTAACTCTTAAGTATCAAAGTTATACAATTAATTAAATACAAAATCCTAACCTAACCTAACCATACTAAAATCCGATAATTAAAAAAAACCAAACATTCGTAAGTATAGATAAAGAAGAAAAATGTAAAAGTAAAAATAAAAATAAGAAAAAAACAATGTAAAAACAATGCAATTAATAATAAATATTATTATTAGAACCAATAGCAACTATTTATAAACAAAAATTTAAAAAAAAAAACAATGTAAAAACAATGCAAACAATTTGGCCCCTGAAACCGTTGTTCGAACTCGAGACCCGTGTTTAAGTCCCTTGCTTGCTTGTACTTCTTATTTACCCACCTTGTTCGCGTCAAAATGTAGCCTATCTTTTCCTCCGTGTTCTAATCTATCTCTATAACAAATTTCATCGCAATCGGATGAATAAACCGTTCAATGCAGAAAGGACAAAGGTGCAAACATTTTTTGTTTTTTATATTAAATATTTTATGGATACAGATGTACTATAACCGTAGAGTCCCGAGGACATTCTCGTCACACGGCTATTGCACTATTATGTTTGAATTTGTGTTTTTATTTAAATTAATGAAAATATAACATTTTCCAAAAAAAAAAACTATAGAAAGAGTATAAAATGTTGAAAATATAAACGCGACGCCTGCGTATTTATAATAGGAATCGGCAAAATACTTATTATATAGGTACGCTATATATAACGTGCAGATCGTATTATACATTCAATTACTGCATAATATATTATATAGTATCATTGATCTGACGATGACTGCCGTTATTGTAAGTTCCTCGTGATGAAATCTGTGTACTTGGCCACGTCTGTGAACACTACGTAATGTTTGGTGTCACATACTCGCAGTCCGTCTTTGGCCACCGTCAGGGACACGATACCTCTCAGGTACCACCGATGGTTCCTAATGAACACCATTCCGCCACCACTGTCTCCGTTGCATACGCTTGTGCCTATATGTCAGATTAAAAAAAATAATATACAAAGAATAATCCAATCACTGCAGTAAACCATAATATTTTGTATATGCGAGCATATTTGGTCAATATAATTGGAAATAAAAAAGGAATTTCTAAGTATTTTGAATTCTTTTACAATTGTTAAGATTCGTTGTAACAATATAAAATTCTTTATATTTTTTATAAGGTATTGCTTGGTAAAATAACCATCCTGTATCATCATAAAATAATATTAAATTCTTACGTGGAAAATGATATGAACTATTAAAATTACCTACACATATTGCAGTAGTTGTATTGCTGCATATTATAAATATTGATCATTTTAATCAGAATTTGTCGTGCAATAAAATATATAAGAAAGTATAGATACATACAAATATATCATATTATTTATTATAATGTATGTAAAATTAACGTTTAATTCAATTTTAGACCTATAACACTACGATGAATTTTCACCAACACCAAAAAAAAGAGAAGTCCACGACACTATAAAGATTAGATAAATGTGTCCAATAAAAGTTATGTTAAAAATCACATATGCATTTTAAATTAACTTATAACCCTTTTTTTTCATAATGCTATTTAACAACCGAATACAGTTTAAAAAAAAGTTATAAGTTATAACAAATATGGTTTACAACGTTCTAATAATAACTGTACAGTCCATGGGCGGCCAAACCGTCGATCGTTATTGACGGATAGGGGGAATGAAAAACAATAAGTTATGTAATAAAAATTCTAACTGGGGTGTGAGTTGAAACTTATTATTTTACATTTAGTTAGTTTTAGTAAATACAGTTATTGAGTTACTTACATATTTTGGATTAATCAGTTTGTGTGAAATTACATTTTTTTACATAGTTACATGAAAGTTTTATAAATCTGAATACTGACCAGTTGAACTAAACTTATGATGATTTTAAAGCAACGTCTTGGTTTAGTAACTGGTAACTATTCCCCAGATTATAATTTATTAACTGGTCAACGATAATATGTAATGACACGCTTCCACACCAACAGTATAGATAATGTTAATTTATTTTGAAATTATAATGGGAAACACCAGTTTTTAGGTAACTTTACACTTTAATTGTACCATTTATATTTTATATAAATATGTTTTTTTTCGATATTATGTATCTAGTGATAAAGACTTAAAAATAAAAATTATATTATTTTTGACGTCAAAGGAAAAATATTATATTCTCAAAAGTTCTTAATCAAGAAAAGTTTGGCCACCCCTGGATTATAGTGAATCAATTACCGTTTCTGAATCCAGCGCAAAACGTTTTATTGGACGTGAATTCCGAATAAAATTGTGGATAGCTCCAGAGGCATGTTTGTTGTGATACGACCGGCATCTTTGCCATCTTCAGTTCTTCGGTCGGCGTGTTGTTTTCGTCGAAGCCCCAACCGACGACCTACCGGAATGAGATAAAAAAAAAGGTATCAAAGTAATATTAATCAATCGACAATAATAATACAATCAAAGAAGAGGACAACATAGCAGTTTTCCATCTACTTGTGTGCAGTGCCGACCAGATCATAAAATTTAGTTTTAACTAAAGATGTAAAATAAGATTGGTCAACAAACAATATCAGTGGAGTTTAAGTTTATTTTACAGGGTAAACGTCTAAATATGAACGTATACAAATATTTTTAGTATCAGTGGAATTTACATACTTTTTTTAAGTAATACATCGTACCTGTAGAATTAACATACAAAAAATTTATAAGTAACCGGTGTAATTCACAATCACTCACGGCTTCAAACGTACTATTACATCCAAAACATTTACACCATCCACTGATCCAGGCGTACTATATTATACGTTCCTTTATATAATAATATTATCATTTTCCGGTAACCGTACAATTTTAGGAAACCCTTGTTTGCATAATTGTATACTTAAATAATTAGATCATATACCTAGATCTCAAAATTAAAACTAAAAAAAATTGTATACCTAAGTAATTTTACTGATAAAAGTTGTATTTTATGTAGCATAGACAGATTGCAGAAAAAAATAATAGTGTATCAGCGAAAATGTTAATTAGTGATGTACAAAACCACTATATTGAATAATGATTCATAATATGTAGCGAAAAAAAAATGTTCTTACTGTTCCTTCTTTTTCAACGATATCGTCCAAATCGTTGGACCTCTCTTCCCAAAGACACACCGGCGTCACATAGTTAGTAAATTCAGCGTCGGAGGACAACGTCAACATAGCTATGTCTCCGAAGTACGAGGTGCTGTTGTAAGACGGGTATACCTTTATCCGGATAACCTGTGGAGGAGAAAAAATAGGTATATTATAGACAATGAAAACAGCTGATAGACCCCCGGGATTTGGACCCGAGTCCCAGTTCCATTCGCATCACCTGTTTGATCTGGACACCCAGCTCGTCGCTGTACTGGAGCTGATGGTATTTGCCGAGATAGACGACTAATTTGGTTGAGTTTAAGACTGCATCGTTTAGTTTGTGAGTCACACAATGAGCGGCTGTAAAAATAAAAATAGTACACATTATAGTAAAAGAAATTAAAATCAAAAATTCAAACTTGGTTCGATACTTCTGGAAATTATAATTTAAGAAAAGAAAAATATGTAAACATAATATAATATACTATAGTAGCTATATATAATTTTAGATAAATGTATAGTGAAATGATAAATCGAATACCTAAATTCAAAATAATTTCATCCTATTTGATATTTCTATAGTTTAGTACTTCCTATAATATGTTATTAATCTTATAGATAAATATATAATAATATAGCTTCAGTAAACGTAGCACACCATAACCTGGAGCCAATAATAGTATGGTAATATTATTAGAGTCGTAGCATACTCAAATAATTTTGTATCGTCATAATTATATTCGATTTCCTATTCGTACAAATATCTAATTGAATTTTTAGAGGTTAAGTATTCGAGTTAATACTGTTTATTGTTAAGTTAAATTATACCTGATCTTCTTTTGGATATTATACGCTAAGAAATTAATTGTACAATATTACTTATCTACAGAAAAGTGAATTTGGTTTTGAAATATTCGATTAAGGATTGAAATACAATTTTTTAGGTGGATGGGAGGTAACACTTAAATCATAACACTCTTATCGGAAGTACAAAATCACCGGTTCAAACCACGAAGCTTACCCGTGATGACTTTGTTTTTTGAGACGAGCGAACCGCCACAATGGTAGCTCAAGTTTATGCCTTCTATGAGGTAGAGTGCCACGTGCCAGGGCCATTGTCCCCTTTTCGTAGACTGTCCAGAAGTCACCAGCGGCACGACCATATTGACTTCACCGCACGACGAACCACTGGACGAGAGAGAGTTGACAGATGACCTGTAAATACAATTTGAGAACCTTAAAATACTTTCTTTTTAATATTCTAATACAGGATTTCTGTACAGCCCATATATTTAATTACACCGGAAAAACTAATAAACTCGAAAATTTTGGGTTCAAGAAATTAAAAAAAGTATTAATTCCTCGAAACTTTTATAGGGTACCTTTCTCTATACTGCCTGTAAAATCTTCGAACGATTATATTGTCGTTGAAGTGTTGAAAGTTGAAACCATTGATTTCATCCTAAATTATGGTAAATTACTATATCTTCTATAAAATGATTCTACTCAGAATTTATAAGAGAGACCACATTGCACTCGCCCTATAGTCATTTAAACAGAATGGATTCGTTAGCAAAAACTTTTTTTAAGGAGTTCAATGTAGGTAATTTTCTAAGTATATATTATGAATGTTTGTGTAATGCTTAGGTATTTAATAGTAATGTATTATTATTGTGCCTGTAGCTTTGATGAAAAAATATGAGTTGCCTTTGTTAGGTTAAGCGTTTTTAAATTAAATTTATGAGGTTTATTTGAGATTGAAGAATCCATTTTTTGATTCTTTTCGTATATTCACATAATCACATGTTTACTGTTCAAAAATGCATAAATTGTAGAAACATGTAAAAATTCAAATTTTATGTGAAAATGTGAAATAACATAAGAAAAGAAGTGATTGGTCGATCTGTGATCTCCAGTTAACAATTTTTTTAGCATTAACATTTTTAAACGAATTCTCAGATTCCTTATCGAATATCGATACGATGGATACAATATAGGTATTATAATTTCTTTAAAAAAAACTATTGGCATAATATGACAGTATAGGTATTAGGTATAATACAATTCAGAAATGAGGGCCCAAAAAAATGTCATCATCCTAAATTTTAATATTTGACAATCGTTGGGGACTACATTAAGACGCCGTTATCGTAACTCGTAGTACTACACAGCGATTTCGTCAAATTCTCCTCGTCCTCGCCATCCTCCAGAAAAAGGGGTGATCACAATAATATATAGGTACGGCGTTTCATGTCTAAGCACTAATCATGGTCAATTCCATAACCGTGATTTCGTAACCAACCCGGTATAAGATCCACTGCTCCCTCCACCGCTGACCTGTTGATTGTTGTTGTTGTTGTTATTGTTGGGCTTTTGGCCAGTTTGCTGGCCGGACGGTCTGTTGTTAACATTCGGCCTGGTCGCACTGCCACCGTCCGCGGTCGCCGGTCGCCCGCCACTACCGGTACCGCCATTCGGCCGGTTATTTTGGTTGTCGATGACGGTTATAATGACGGTCTTGTTGTTGCTGTTCTGGTTCTGCAACAGCCCGTTAATGACCCCGTTTATGTCGCTGTTCGGGTCCGTACTGCTGGCCTGCAACGTTACCGTGTTCGGTCTATTTCCGTTGCCCTGTTCATAGGGATTTCGAGGCGCCAAAGTCGTAGTCGTCGTTATTGGCCCCCTGTTGGTCTTCCGGGTCGTATACGTTCCTTCCGTCACGGTGGTCGCCGGACGACCGTCCTGCGGCGAATAATCCGATCCTGAGGGTCTGATCGGGTTGTCCTTGTCGCGGTGGTTGTTATTGCCGCCACTTTCCGGATATTCGTCCACGTCACCGCCGAACTCGGGATCCGGTCTCTTGGTGCTCTGAGGTCTTTGCGATGGCCGGGATTCCTCCTCGTACCCAGAACTATAACCTGCAATGGCGAGAAAAGGTTGTGTTTAGTTATAATACAAAATACACAATAACAGTCATAGTATAAACAAAAAAGCCCAACACACTTTTGATTTCTCCAATTGAGAATTAGCAATTTAAATGTTATAAAAATGTTAAATGTGACCTATGAAAAATATAAATGTAGGTAACAAATAATGTATTTATTGTTAAGTTTGGGAAATTTCAAATGTATTAGGTACGAAAGAGCCTTACATAGTATGCTTTCGCGAGCGAAGAGAATCTGATTTTTGAAGTAGAATCTAATTAGTGATTAATTTAGAATTTATAAAATAACAATATTCATTGCATATTTTTATAATTACATTAAGTTCATAAATGAGAGTATACCATATTTAGTTTTTTTTACGAAACACCACTGCACATAATACACACTAAATACATTTTTTATAATATTATAAAAGGTCACTCACTAGAATCTTCGGGGCAGATCTTACGGCCATTGAGTCGGATGAACCGCAATTTAGGACTGCCCGTCGATCGGTTGAACTTGGCCATGATCCTAGACAGCACCGGGGGCCCGGGCTTCAGTTTTTGGTTTAAGTTCAACACTGTGAATTTCACATTGTCGCTTGTCGTTATCTCTCCCATCCAAGACTGAAATCAATAAACGGCGCACTAATATTATGCATTCACGTGCACTTTGTTTCCCCGTTCAAAATGCCAACTCTGTATATGATTAAAACTTTGTTAAATTCGTTATTTAATATTCAGTGTAATGGTATTCAAAAAATGTTTATCGGACATCTTCAATCTCAAAATACTTGTGCATACTTTAAATGCAAATTTTGGAAAATGCTTTCTAAGTGCTCACTGTCTTACACGGTGGTACGAAATGACCGTGAAAATTGCAAGCCTCAAGCTATCATCGTTTAGGCTCTACGTTGATCAGTCAGTGAGTCGGCCAGGACACGATCGATTATATTATATTATAGCCATCCCTCTCCGTATCGCCCGTGAGACTCACTTGTGATTTGAGACTATATTATTAGCTTTATATACCTACGTAGGTAGGTAGGTTAGTACGTAAGTGTACCTCGGTTTTGGTGTAACCCGCAGTTCAGATTATAATACGTCAGGATGTAATATTATGCCTTCGCGAGAATGTACTCAACAGCGTTAAAAATAATATCTTTACGAACATAACTAAGTTTAGTGTTGGGGTTTGTGTTCATCTATTAGTAACAGATTACAACGTTATGTCAAGTTGAGAAAGCAAATGCGTTAAGACAGTGGATTTTATTTATTTCTATTTGCAGGACCGATAGCGCCACTGTTGTATTTTTACCATCCAGATTTCCTACTTTCCTGCTGGATTTCCCTAAAATGTTCGTTTACACAAACCTTAAGGACAATTGTCCTGGAAATTACGAAGACAGCAAAAAAATAATTAGCCAAATAGGTGTAGTTGCTTTGAAGTGATGAGCGGACAAAAATTTGTGGCCCTTAAATTATATTTATACAATGATTATAGTTATTATAGTTACCTTCAAATTATCAACAGAAAAAAATCAATTTGTGATCTAATCTAATGGTGTTTGAACTTTGAACCCTAAACAATCACAGTGTTTGAAAATACCGGATTCGTGACGTCACGTCTTGTTCGAATCATGTACAGTGAACACGAATGAGAAAATGTTCTCTCTTCGTGATTTGATAAAATTTGATAAATTCATAATTTATTGTAAGTCCATATCGGTTTTTTTGTTGTTTTACAAACTTACAACTAGATATTTTTATTGGTATATTTACCTACTCTGAATTCCTTTTTTAAATAAGACTATGTATTAAAGCGGATCTTATGCGTCTACTTTATGTCATAGTAGTGGTCTACCTACTTAATGTAAATTATAATCCCTAATTATATAGTACCTAATGCCTATAGTAGGTATATAATATAATACCTACATGGATATATTATAATATACGTAACTATTACGTAAATTACTTTAATTAATATTATTTTACAGAAAACAAAACTGCAATAATTTATATTATTCGGTTCTCTCGATGCGCAAAGATGTCATGCCAAATGGAAATCCAACGGGAGACCTAACCTAACCTATGTTATACCTTTAGATATTATACTATGTACAAAACTTACTACCATCAAATCTGAAGGTCGGTCCAGTTCGATGTCCAGTCGGATGCCCACCAGGCTTTCGTCAGTCCTCAGTGATATCTCACCATACCACCTGTTGTTCTCCGGTTCCGAGCCTTCGTAAGTGAATATGTCTGGACAAGGCGACGGCGGATGGGAGGCGGCCGAAGACAAGCGAACCAACAGCATACATGCAAACGACAACAATCCACAGATCGCTAATGGCTGCTAAAAGCGAGATATAGAATGGAACAACAAAAATGTATCATCGAAATGGACGAAGACGTGTAAATGTTAGGTTAACATCTTAACATTATAGTAGGTACGATTGAGTTAGTTAGGTACTGTTTATTATTTGACGTACCATTTTTTTAGGCTAGGTGTGTTGTATTTTTATAATACTATTTTGATAATAATGCTGCTGTCAAATCGGCACTGAACTACGTTTCTGAACCAACGGAATTTTTGTCGTCAACTTTGTAGCTCAAATTATTACGTATGAACATCTCACTCGAATTTCGGTCCCAGTTCAGATTTAAAACGATCACCCCGCGTATTCAGTCGATCTGCAAAAGTGCAAACACCATTGTTAGACTTGAAATTTTTTATAAGACTACCATTTATGCTTAAATCTTTGACAAATCACTCAAAAACGTAATATTATATAAGTACTGGTAAATACGAACAAATGAAAAAAAAAGTGCATTATTGAGTTTCAACTCTGAGGTTCTGCATATAAAAAGTACTTGGTTTCTAAAATAAAAATATAATAACATCATTATTGTAGAACCCTGTAATTTCTTCCTCGCTCTGTTTGAGATCTAAATAATATAATCACTTATAGATATTAAAATATACTAGCGTGTTAGGACGTCGATTCCCGAAGGACGACTGCTTATGTTTATTTCTGTCTCGTATATTATTATTTCTACGTTTATACATTTACAAGTGGTTAAACAGTAGATTTTGCACGAATATCATAATTATAATTAAACTAACCTACTACTTAAAAATTATAAGTATACACTATACAGTGATAAGTATTTTTTGATTTAAAATTAATTCAAATAGGTACACCAGCTAAAATATCATGTACCTATATATAAAGCTGACCGCAAGGATGATTGTATTATATTGTTAAACAATTAAAATACCGAACATTCCATTAAAACGTTGAAGAATTTCTTAATAGTATTATATCTATTCTAATAGGCTATACAATTTAAAATTATTATAAAAATTGTATTAATTACCTGCCTACCTAGTAAAAAAGTTAAAATTATGACGTTACTGCACAATTTTAAAGTTTTAATGTTTTATCTGTAATACTACGTTATTTTTTACCGGAAATACTTTGCAGTGTGAATATTTTTAATAAACAATTTTAATAATTTTATAATATTTTGGTTTTTGTTTATTTTGATTTTGAAATGTACTGTTTTGACTTTTGGTGTTCCAAATGAGAATGTCAAATGGGATTACCATCTGACTATTGGTAAAAACTAAAAAATTGATCGAGAAATATAAAAGGTTGAGAACAACTGGTTTGGATTACTGTTTTCAATAATATAAAAAAGAAGGAAAAAATTGTCACGGTATTTAAAATGCAGGTGATCTAACTATAGAAACAAGAAAAAAAAATCTTACAATTATTATTCCCCAAGCTCAATGGTCTTTAATTAAACGTTTAATTAAATTAAGGTTATGGCTTAGGTACAATTTATTAGGAGTCCCTATCATAATATCGGTTTAAAAAAGAATGATAATTATAATGCATTACGTCGTTTACCTTAGAATTATCATTTATATAGCTCCCATACGTATACGGCAAAAGATACATTGACATTATCGAAGATCAGATGCCTTAAACGAGTGTGTCGAGTTTGTATATTTTGTCGTGATGTATTTAATATATAACATATAGTTTAATACTTAGTATTACTTTTCACCATCATTATTATTATTATATTATTATAAATATTATGAATACTGAATAATAATAATAATAATAATAATAATATTTTAACGTACAGCGCGATCACTGCTTAGTGCTTTGCGATTATAAACGCATACAAATTATGTAGGTACATATTATGATGTTTATACATTTGTACATATTATTATGCATATTACGTAGGTACGAACTGATTATATTATGTAATCTGGTTTTGAATCATTTATTTATTTATAGAAGTGACTTTTTGTGAAATCTCAATAAACTAATTTGTATACAATCATTAAAAGGCCCCTCCCCCCAAGTCAGAGGATTTGCACACTGATGGGCCTTCCTCCTCACGTAATTTCATGTTGATGTATCTTAATTTACCTAATTTAGTTATTGTATATAAATACTACATATTGTAAATATACTTTTGTTTAAATAAAAAAAGTTTTTAATTTTTTTTTTATTCAAGTTATCGAGACTCGGCAGTAAATGACTAGTCAGGTTAAAGTGCGCTTTTGTTACATTACCAAATTAAATTAATAATTACCAACATGGCTGCAGAAAACATTTCCATTGAAATTGAAAGTATTATAATACATAACTTATATTAAATTTTATGTTAGGCTGTAAGTCGTAAATTATTATTATTATTAATTACTTAGCTACTCCTAATAAACATATTTGATACTCTCTAATTAAATTACTAACTAAATATTTTTAACATCCATTGTAAATTATTGGAGTTATCGTTAAAAACAATTAATATTGTGTATACGTGTGGTTTTTTTTCTGTTTAAATGAATTTCAAGTTTATTATTATTATATTACAATAAATTGTACCTTAGTATATGTTCATTAATTATTACATAATAATATTAGATAGTTTAAATTCTAATCAAATATAAACGAAGGACTTCTTTATTATTATAAAGTATACACTGGACGTAATTGTATACAAAATTGTTGAGGAAAACAAAACTCGATTAACTTTACTGATAGTATAGGTATAAAGATGAGTTGTTACATCCACCTATAACTTTAAAATTGATAAATTACAATAAATATTCATTTCCAAAATTTGTAAGTATTATATACATAATATAGGTACATATATGTATTTATATATTATATGGAAATATTTGTCAACTTTAATTTTAAAAATATATGTAAGTAGGTACTAGCTTAATAAACTTAAATCATCGGTCAATTGAAACATTTTTTTTTTTGCATCACAGGCTGTCGAAACAATATAATAACAATAATAATACGTTCCAGAGTAATAAACTACATTACCTATATTACTTATGCACTCGGAAACATTTATATAACTTTTATTTTAATTTGATGGAAACGAAAATTGTCAGTCATTGATTTGTCATTGATTCTATAATATGATTGCATTATAATATGAATATTTAAGAAGTAGGTACTTATATAGTATTACAGTCGTTGAGTCGTCAGTTCAAGTAGTTAGTGCATATTGCCGGAATCATACATTATTGTCAAACATAGTATAAGCAATAAGGTAAAGGTAGTTATAGGTAATATGAGTAATATATATTATGTACCTACTAATATATAGTTGTAACACTCCATCGGCTATAACTTACAAGCATAATAATATATTAATATACCTACTCGTATACAATAGTATAATCCTAGTTACAATTGTAAACTGTTTTCCTATGCCAGATTATCAGTTTGAATAGTGTATATTCTGTGTTGATACAATATTTCCATATTATTTAGTAGGTATTAGTGATAAGTGAAGTATGATTAAGCTGCAGGGGATAGGAAGTTGGCGGTGACAATCATTAGATCTATCACACATTCACACACGCAACACGTGAATTTATTTTCGTAGTAGCGCTATTCCATTTCCAACGGAAATAAAATTAAAGCTACTAATAGTAGATAGGGAACCTAAAAAAATACAATGATATAAACAATAATGTAGCAATAAATAATAACTATTTATATTTTATGTAGGTATATAGTAACTTTCTATAATTGGTATAATCGGTGTTACCTATATCAATTTATACTCTTTATATTGTTCATATAAGAATTTTGAATACCTACTCTGCAGTATTTTGATTTTAATTCGCCATATTTAATGTTAAAAAAAAAGTGAGCACCCTCCCCGAAAAATTATCTGGATTCAACACTGGCGCCTCTATATGTAGTTAGTCAATGGTAGAGGTACTAGAAATCAAGTTTCAATTCTTTTTTGTTAATTTTTATTTTTTTATCCATATTTTTTTGTTCTAAGAAAAACGAGTCCAACGATTTGTGTATTTTCAAAATGTTTTATTAGTATACTCAGGAAAGTCCTTCTTCGGTAAACGAAGAGTTCAACTTTGTTTTAAAAATTTTTTCATGACACCATTTATTATAAATACTAGTACCTATTTACTAGGTATAGTGCGATACCATTGTTCTTACAATATATAGCCATAGCTGATATATCAATACATTGGAAATCGAATTCACAACTTATAGTATTCTTAAATAATAATTTCTTCGTGTTTGATAAATACAAGGATTTACAGCGGTATATTTAAACAATAAATAAAAACCGCAGTCAAATCATAGATACGAATTCAAAATGTTAAAATATGTGTCTCATCCCTCGTTTTATTAGAATCCCTATTTAATATTTACCGGATAATTTTTTTTTTTTTATTAGCCTTTAGTAAAAAACTATAATAGCTCGACAGTTAATACAGTTATTTAGTACCTTAAATAGCAAAACCAGCTTCCAAAAGGAAGTTACTGGATAATTAATTTGTTTTTATCGCATCTTTAAATAGGCAAAATTAGATCTGATTATATTCAAACGAATATCATATAAACATTTTTCAGTTGTGATAATAAATACAGATGGTATTGGCATTTTTTAATTTCACCGTAAGATAAAATCAGGTATGTACTAATAATTAGATAAGTAGGTATATACATGTTACTAATGTAACATTATGTAGTTATGTACCTATCTAGTATAGTTGTGTGTTTCAATTTTCTATGTTAATATGGAAAATAAATTACACTACGCTAAAAGTTAAATCAACTATACATTTTGCTGTTAATATTTTCATTCTCCCAATATAGTTGAATAATATGTTTAGATTGTTTTATTTTTATCAAATTTTTATGAAGATACAGCTATTTAAAGAGGTACCTAAAGGGTAATTAAAAAAATATATCTTTTATAGGTACAATCAAATTGACCTATGCATAGGTAGTATGCACATATTATTAATCAGAGCTCACTGTACACTATAAATGTTTTACTATATATTAATCTTACTCTGTATACGTCACTTATATAATAATATAATATATAGGTATATTAGAGTTTTCACGAATTCTCGATTTGTTAGAAATTAGAATAGTATAATGCACCTTTTGCACCTATAATG